TATTCTATTCTATTCTATTCTATTCTATTCTATTCTATTCTATTCTATTCTCAGTTAGAATAGAGCTGGAAGGGACTTTGGAGGTCTTCTAGTCCAGCCCCCTGCTCAAGCAGGAGACCTATACCATTTCAGACAAGTGGCTGTCCAGTCTCTTCTTAACACCTCCAGTGATGGAGCACCTACAACATCTGGTGGCAAGCGGTTCCACTGGTTAATTGTCCTCACCGTTAGTAAGTTTCTCCTTAATTCTAGGTTGCTTCTCTCCTTGATTGGGTTTCCATCCATTGTTTCTCGTCCTGCCTTCCGGTGCTTTGGAAAATAAATGGACCCTCTATTCTTTGGGGCAGCCCCTTAAATACTGGAATAACCTCCGTCTTCCTCCTTAGTTCTATTAACACAGTGCTTTATGATACAACAAGCCAGCCGCAGTCATCCCACTGGGACACCAAACAGACCTTTCATACTTAGAAGAAGAGAAAGGCTCTCAAAATCATTGTGTGCTGGGATTCACATTCTGGCTAGGTGGACCTTAACTGTTTCCAGTTAAGAAAAAGTCCTGTCTCCCTGAGGACTGGAGGGAATTTCTGGTTCAGGGGCTGGCACACGAAAAAGTCCCCTTTGTGCTAATTTTGGGGTGCACAGCACTGCCCCTTTGTTGTTGTTGTTAGTTGCGAAGTTGTGTCTGACCCATCGCGACCCCATGGACAATGTTCCTCCAGGCCTTCCTGTCCTCTACCATCTTCTGGAGTCCATTGAAGCTCATGCCTCCTGCTTCAGTGACTCCATCCAGCCACCTCCTTCTCTGTAGTCCCCTTCTTCTCTTGCCCTCCATCTTTCCCAGCATCAGGCTCTTCTCCAGTGAGTCCTTCCTTCTCATTAGGTGGCCAAAGCACTTGAGTTTCAACTTCAGGATCTGGCCTTCTAAAGAGCAGTCGGGGTTGATCTCCTCTAGGACTGACCGGTTGGATCGCCTTGCAGTCCAGGGGACTCGCAGAAGTCTTCTCCAGCACCAGAGTTCAAAGGCCTCCATTCTTTGGCACTCAGCCTTTCTTATGGTCCAACTGCCCCTTTACCAGGGTGCAAAAAAAGATCTTGGATGGATTTGGGAATTTGTGACCAAGGACACGAGGGTGCTTGGAACTCGGGAATCACTGCACCAAATTAAACCGGGAACATTGAATAAAGACACAATTTTCCTTCTTGAAAAAGATGAAACATTTATTTTGTCTTCACCGAGAGACAGCATTGGGAGGGGGGGCAGACTAATAGACATCATAAATAGTCATAAATACATCTTCAATATGTAAGAAGTTCAAATAAATAAATAAATAGGAAAAAAATACATACATTGCATTATCATTATTTGTTATCATGTTCTGGGTTGTTCTTGTGAACAATTCCCACATTTTTGTAAAATACATACATCCCGATTGGGACCTTCCATAAAACATGACCATGTTCCATGTTCCACCTCCAGCACTGAGTCCTCCCATCCCCCACTCAAGTCTTTTTATCTGTCCTGAATGGATCTGGGGAGCAGAGATGTTTTCCATCATTTCCCCAACCCCACATTGGTTTTTTTTTAAAATATTTTTTGCCTGGATTTGAGCCCTTAATTTTTCGTTGGCTGCTTGAAACGGTGCTTCCGTGACACACAATGCCACACTAACCACAACTTTTTAGCCTTTGGGAAGACACTGTCGGATAAAAAACACCCCTCACTCTGTCCCATCCTGAAAAGAGCTTCCCTTTAGGACCCGGCAACTGAGATTGGAATTGGAATTTCTACCACTATAAGCGAGACAGTCATTAAATGAGTCACAACGGATTTTACAATTTTGCAATCTTTTTTTTTTTTTTTGGGCCAACGGCAAATCGCGGTAAAGCAATTCCTACGGTTGTTAAGTAAATCCTCCGTTGGGTTTGCTTGACCTGGATTTGAACCCCAGCCCAGACGGATGGATGCCGGCTAATGCTTGAACAGACCACAAAGCTGCTTTATGGAGCATCCCAACTCCGTTCTCCCGGAAGGGACGCCATATCTGCCCGTTCCCCTCCATCTGGTGGTTGATCACCCATGCCAAGAAATCAGGATTTAACCTTTCCTACGCAAAGCCTACCTTCAGCCAACAGGTTGATAGGATGGGTGGGTATCCTGAATAAAGCTAGGGTTAATCATGAGGGGGTCCTGCCAAGACTCAAAGGAAGATCCTAGCTGAATGGGACCCCTTATATTCATTTTGCGATATTGTGAGAGAATAGACCACGTCAGGTGCTGTTTTGGAAGAGGGTTGCCTACGAAAGAAGTTGCGTTGTCATACCTATTTTGTAATGGAGACCAGTGAAACTAGGTATCCCTCTTGGAAAGTCCCATCCCTTTGCTCAGTGCTCGGAGCCTGCGGGACGTGCCACAACTCGGGATACCCTAAAGATGCTTTTTCCAGGAAGCAACTGGACTTTCTTGTTTTTCCTTCAAAGACATTTCGCTCCTCCTCCCAGAAGCTTCTTCAGATTCTGACTGGAGGGCGGCGGATGGAAGGATTTATACTCCTTGCAGACAGCTGGTCGTTTGCATCCTTTTAGAGAGTCCTTGAGGCCACTTGGAGGTTTATCTGTGTCCTCATGGGACTTTCTTATTATTCTTTGAAGACATTTCGCTCCTCATCCCAGAAGCTTCTGACCGGATGGTGGGGAGTGGAAGGATTTATACTCCTTGCAGACAGCTGGTCATTTGCATCCTTTTAGAGAGTCCTTGAGGCCACCCGGAGTTTTAGGACCTGCAAAGGTCCTAAACCGAAGGAAAAACAAGAAAGTCCAGTTGCCTCCTGGGAAGGCATCTTTAGGACAACTGGATGGCTGAGAATAATCGCCATAGACAACCCGGGATACCCCAAGCCAGCCTGTAGGAGGATGAGCAGACCTATCAGTACGTCACCCTTTCCCACAAGGATACTCACGCTCGGAAGCTAAAATAGGTAGTCCTTAACTTACAACCACAATTGAGCTCAAAATTCCTGTTGACATTGTTAAGTGATGGCCTTTTGTGACGGTTATTATGGGAGTCACTGCCCTCATTAAGGCTGTCGTGTCCTTCCTACTACATTTGGCTTCCCCCATTGGGTTTGCTGGTCCTAAGCAAAGTCACAGATGACGATTGCTTGGCCCAGGATGCTAGCGCCATCGTCAATACACCCGGGTTGCCAAGAACCCAGATTTTGATCGTAGGACCGTGAGGAGGCTGCAACAGTGGTTAAGTGTGAGGACCAGTCATAAGTCACTTTCCAGCACCCTGCAAATCTGAATGGTTGCTAAATGAAAGATAATAATTCGGGGACTACTTGTAGACTGGCCTAGACTTCAAAACCGACAATTATTGCCCTGCAGGCTGGTTATTTTTTTTAGTAATCTGACTTGCATTTTTAGCCTAGATAAAACTTGTAAGAAATCAAGAAACAATAAGATACCAACACATGCAATGCTGTACGGCAAAATAAAACAACAGTATAATAGTTGCAGTGGGAACCAGGGACAAATCATGAATTCCCAAGAGAATTTGACGAGGATCCACCTAATTCAACGACGGTAACCGGCTTCCTAGACTGGCGCACCATTCCTATCAAAGATTTTTTTTCTAGGAATTTTCTGGTGCAAATACTGCCTCTTCCAAGCTCTCATCTCATATGCTGACATCCTGGGTTGGAAGGAGTCGGGCATGACCCGGATTTGAACCCCAGGCTGGAGGGATGACTGCCAGCTAACGCTTTAACAGCCCACAAAGCTGTTTTATGGAGCATCTCAACTCTGTTCTCCAGGCTTATCTGCCCGTTCCCCTCCATCTGGTAGTAGATAACCCAGACCAAGACAGGATTTAACCTTTCCTGCGCAAAGCCTACCTTTGGCTGACGGGTTGACAGGATGGGTCGGTATCCTGAATAAAGCTAAGGTTAGTCATGAAGGAGGCCTGCGGAGATCCAAAAGAAGAAACTCATGGAGATAGTCCTGGCTGAATTGGACCCCTTTCACTCATTTTGGGATATTGTGAGATAGTAGCTTGAAACTAATCAAGGAGAGAAGCAACCTGGAACTAAGGAAAAACTTCCTGACAGTTAGAACAATTAACCAGTGGAACAACCTGCCTCCAGAAGTTGTGAATGCTCCAACACTGGAAGTTTTTAAGAAGAGACTGGAAAACCATTTGTCTGAAATGGTATAGGGTTTCCTGCCTGATCAGGGGGTTGGACTAGATGACCTCCAGGGACCCTCCCAGTTCTGTTATTCTATTAGGTCATGTCAGGCGCTGTTTTGGTTTGGTCCTTCCTAACAGTCCTAGTTTATCATGTGTTCCCTTGGGAAAATTAATTGCCCACTCTCTAATAATTAAGACGATTAAAGGCCTGGAGACCAAAACATACGAATAACGGCTGCAGGACTTGGGTTTGGCTAGTCTAAAGAAAAGAAGAAACAGGGGTGACATGATAGCAGTATTCCAGTATTTGAGAGGCTGCAAACAAAGAAGAGGGAGTCAAGCTATTCCCCAAACACCAGAGGGCAGGACAAGAAACAATGGTTGGAAACTGGTCAAAGAGAGAAGCAACCTGGAATTATGAAGAAACTTCCTAACAGTGAAGACAATTTACCAGTGGAACAGCTTTGCCTTCAGAAGTTGTGGGTGCTCCATCCCTGGAGGTTTTTAACAAGAGACTAGACAGTCACTTGTCTGAGATGGTATAGGTTCTCCTGCTTGAGCAGGGGGCTGGACTAGAAGACCTCCAAGGTCCCTTCCAGCTCTATTCTATTCTAATAGAGATCTTTTTCCCCCCTTTCTGCCCCTGCTGATCCACAGATTTTATTTGTTGAGAGGTTCTGGGCCATCTCCTTAAAACAGAGCCCAATCAAGCCAAAGCTTCCACCAATAAAACATTAGCAACTTCACAATCTCGGCCAGTCAGCTGTGGGTGCGCTGTGTGACACGGCAAGACTCTTATCGACCGTACAGCATTGCAGTTACGAAGCTTCAACATTACAACGTAGACAGAGCAAAACGTATAACACTCCCCTCGTCACCCACGCCCCAGGTTTGTCATTCAGGACCAGTGCCGGGACCGGGAAGACGCAGACCCAGCTATCACCCCTTATTCTGAACAATTCATCTTAAAAAAAAAAGGAATTTAGCTTCCTTTGACGATTCAGGAGAGAGTCCGCTTCCCCGACGTCGTCCTTAGGTTCAGGAATCCGTTCGGGGGTTAGAAAACCTTCTGCTGAGCGTGGCCCCGTTGGGGTCCCTCTCTTCGGAATTGGAGCTGCCCAAGCAGGGGTGGGGACCCACCTCGTCCGGATTTTCTTCCGGCAACTTTCCAGTGGACAAAAGGCCCCCACAAAGCTCGGTGTCCTCGTCCCAGGGGTCCACTTGGCGAGGCCTGGGTGTGTCGAACTGGACCAAGGGGATTTCGTTCCTTCTGGTTAAAAACTGAGAAAAGGACGGCGGGTTCATATTGGGAAAGAGTGGCCGCTTCGCCCTTCCTAGGCTGACCAGGTGCTTGTGCTTGAGGGACTGGTAAACGTCGTAGCCGTTTTCCAGCATCAGGTGCTTAAAAAGGCAGTCCTCATTGCTGAAAAAGTTCTAAAAGGAAACAAACGCACAACGTGTCAGGGCAGAGGTGACAAAAATCAGCCATGACTATCAATAAGAACAGAGTAGAGCTGAACAGAACAGAACAGAATAGAATAGAAAATATGGAATAGAATAGAATAGAATAGAAAGAATAGAATAGAATAGAATAGAATAGAATAGAATAGAATAGAATAGAATAGAATAGAATAGAATAGAATAGAAATTAGAAAAGAATAGAATAGGAATTAGAATAGGAAATAGAATAGAATAGAATAGAATAGAATAGAATAGAATAGAATAGAATAGAATAGAATAGAATAGAAAATATGGAGTGGAGTGGAGTGTAGGGTAGAGTAAGGTAGGGTAGTGTAGGGTAGAATAGAATAGAATAGAATAGATTAGAATAGAATAGAATAGAATAGAATAGAAAATATGGAATGGAATAGAGTAGAGTAGAGTAGAGTAGAATAGAATAGAATAGAATAGAATAGAATAGAGTACAGTAGAGTACAGTAGAGTACAGTAGAGTACAGTAGAGTACAGTAGAGTACAGTAGTATTTGCTCAATATTGGAAAAATGCAGAATTACCAACTGAGGAAGAGTTAATCAAAAAAAATTCTAGATTGTGCAGAAATGGACAGGTTGACATTGAAAATGAAAGAGAAAGAAGACTCAGTATACTTTAGATCAGGGGTCTTCAAACTCGGCCCTTTTATGACTTGTGGACTTCAACTCCCAGAATTCCTCAGCCAGCGTGCCTGGCTGAGGAATTCTGGGAGTTGAAATCCACAAGTCATAAAAGGGCCGAGTTTGAGGACCCCTACTTTAGAACATGGGATACTTTTTACCAATGGCTAGAAAAATGAGGTAGAGAGAAAGGAACTTAATGAGGACTTAATGCCTTGGCTGCCCTAGGAAAGGGGTCAAATAATCTGAAATGAATATTAGGACTTACCGATCCGAAGAGATTTCCGTTAACATCCATGCAAAGGAAGAGTCCGGTCCTCGCACCACTGATCACAACATAGCCTGCACCTTCAGATTTGATGATCAAAGCACCTGGAAGTGAACGGGTTAAATATTAGGAGACCTCTCCATACATCTCTTAAGCCAGAAAGGGCGACCTCACCTATTGGAATACTATTATCTGATGCCTTCCCAAATTCCCGAAAAGTTGGAGCGACTGGATGGAGCTGAGCGTTTACTGGCTGGATGCCCTTCCTGACGCCACGCGGAGTTCACAACAAATATCATCCTCTCCCAGGGTTAGCTCCAAATGACCCAAGCGGTATTCATACCTGGGGCAACTAGAACTCACACGCTAGATCGAACTAGCCCTACATCATTCAGCAATCTGACAGACTTGCTTTAGGGAAGGCTCCAAACATCTCATCTCCAACTTTTGAAAAGCCCTCTCCGCCAGTTTCCAGTTCTCACGACCCCGAACATCCGCCTACACACACAGCTCCCCCAGTAAACCTGCCCAAAGGTTCCCCACCCGGGTTCCTGCATGGAACGAAGCGGACCTGGGTGCAGACAGCTACTTCCCTACAATAAGCAAGTTGGTCCTTGCTAACCAAGAACTAAGGAGAAACTTCCTGACTGTTGGAACAATTCACCAGTGGAACGACTTGCCTCCAGAGGCTGTGGGTGCTCCAACGCTGGAGGCTTTTAAGAAGGGATTGGACAGCCATTTGTCTGAAATGGTGCAGGGTTTCCTGCCTGAGCAGGGGGTTGGACTAGATGACCTCCAAGGTCCCTTCCAACTTATTCTATTCTATTCTATTCTCAATCAGAAAAGAGCTGGAAGGGACCTTGGAGGTCTTCTAGTCCAGCCCACCTCCCCGTTCAAGCAGGAGACCCTATACCATTTCAGACAAGTGGCTGTCCAGTCTCTTCTTAATCCCCACCCCCCCAATGATGGAGCATTCACAACTTCTGGAGGCAAGCTGTTCCACTGGTTAATTGTCCTCACTGTTAGGAAGTTTCTCCTTAGTTCCAGATTGCTTCTCTCCTTGATTAGTTTTTATCCGTTGCTTCTCCTCCTGCCTTCAGGTGCTTTGGGGAATAAATTGACCCCCTCTTCTTTGGGGCAGCTCCTCAAATACTGGAATACTGCTATCCAGTATGCTATAATAGAATAGAAAACATATTCTATTCTATTCTATTCTATTCTATTCTATTCTATTCTACTCTACTCTACTCTACTCTACTCTACTCTACTCTACTCTACTCTACTCTACTCTATTCCATTCCATTCCATTCCATTCTATCCTATTCCTTATTCTTTCCTATTCTCTATTCTATTCTATTCTATTCTATTCTATTCTACTCTACTCTACTCTACTCTATTCTATATTTCTACTCTACTCTACTCTACTCTATATTTCTATTCTGCTCTACTGTACTCTACTGTACTCTACTGTACTCTACCCTACCCTACCCTACCCTACCCTACCCTACTCTACTCTACTCTGCTCTGCTCTACTCTACTCTACTCTTATTGAATCCCGTCCCCCTCCCCATCCCTCCCGCACCAGCCGGCTGGGCAGCTCCGCGGGGGACTTACTGTCCACGGTCTGGTCCGGGCTGCCGTCCACGCGTCCGTCGGGATGGATCCGCAGGTGGAGGCTCTTCCTGGCGCTGGAGGTGTACAGGTGCACCAGGTCGTCGGAGTTGCTCCAGGCGGGGTAGGCGAGGGCGCAGGCGGCCAGGGGCAGCAGCAGGCGCAGGGCGCGGAGGAGCGCCGGAGCCGGGACGGGGCGCATGGTCTTGGCTGGGCTGGGCGGCTGCAGGAGCTGGAAGCCGGTCCGGGTCCTCTCCTGGGCTGACCGCTTGCTGGGCTCCCGGGCCCTCCGGCCGCGGCTTTATGCAGGACGGCTGGGGGGTGGGGAGTGGACGGGGAGAAGGGGGGCGGGAGGATGGAAGAGACACCCCTTGGCTTTCCTTTCCTTTTTTTTTTTTTT